CAGTGAAGTCCATGTTGTTCTCCAGGATGATGTCCCTGTAGATCTCCACCAGGGCCAGGGCAATGAAAAGCACAAAGTGGCTAGAAGAGGCATACTTGGCGGCCCAGATAGTTTCCCACACTGCAAACACGTCATCGTACACCAGCTCTGGAAGACAAATCACAAAAAGAGACAGAAGTCGGACCACATTTTGTATTTGAAGGCTCCGATGGGAGTTTGCAGGAAGTGGCGTTATCAGTGGAGAAAGATAGGAGTGGAAGCAGGTGTGAGAGGAAAGGTTTACTCAGATAGCCAGGTGACAACAAGTCAAGTCCTTTGTTTTATAAAGCCTGCAGCTGCAACACACAGCAATTATTTCATAAGCAACTCCCAGGAACGGCTTCCCAAACATATACTGTAGCTGAAAATACTTTCCAAGGCTAGGTAACTAAATGTCTTGTTAGCAAGCTGCAGAGGTGTTTGGCCTTTTATCCAGCAACAGGGCTTAAAGAGGAGGGCATTTATCTCTCCTCTAATTGGCTCAAACCCTTTCATACCACTTTACCTCGCTTGAAGTCTAGGAGAAACCAGCGGTAGCAGAAGTAGAAGTGGGTATAGTCTCCGTTCTGGTGCATTAGCTCAAACATCTCAGAATCCAGGATCTACGCAGAGAGAGGATCAGAAAATGCAAAGGAAAGGTGTGAAAAAGCGTGACGTTTGTTGGTAATGAATGCATTTATTAATACCCGTTTGCTACAATGTGTTAAGATTTGAAAGGTCACCTGAATAAGAGAGCGCATGTTGGCAAAGTGGGTATCCATAGCTCCTCCGTGAGGGAAGTTTTGATTCATTCTCTTCATGAGCTCAGTGAAACAGCTGAAGGCCATGGCCTCTGATAGCAGGAAACAGAGAGAGGAAGCAGGAGTGAGAACGTGTGTGGGCAAACCGTCCTCTGCTGTTCCATCAATAATTGTAAAATACACAAAATGTCAGAGAAGAGAGGTGATTCAGTGTTGACTCACCGTCATCCAGGATGACAAGAAGTGGAGCCAGCAGATCACACATGCCCTGCACGTAGCCGATGTCCAGGTGCCTCCAGATATAGCTGTTAATATACAATCGAGAGAAGTGAATGCTTTTTATCTGCCACTCATCCACTGAGTCACCCTCTAATCAGGATTGAGAGGTATTCACACATTTTCCAACTCAATGGACGTTTTTAAACGACAGCTGAAGACTTTTTAGGTAAGCTTTTTGTTAGCGACAACCCCCTTTCAATCTTTATAATTAGTATTATTTATTTGTATATTGTTTTATTGATGTATTTATTTTATAGGTCTTAATTTATGTTTATTTATTTTATAGTTTTATTAGCAGTCATTTAATCTTTATTATTCATATTCGTTTTTATTTATTTTTTATTATTATTGTTTTATTTATTTCTATAGGTTTATTGTATTGTATTCATTCATGTTGTGTTCATTCTGCCTTTATTTAACAGAGGGATCATTATCTATTTTATTGTATTTCCTTTGACTTATCACACCTTTTACCTCCTTGTGTTCCTTGCACTGTTATATCATCTTGTTATGCTGCATGTGTGCGTGCGTAAAGGTTTAGACGTTTGACCTGAAGTTAATTTCTTGTTTTAATTTGTGATGTGTGCTATGTTGGGAAAGCACTTTGAGATACCTGGTGTATAACAAGTGTTTTTTCGACGCTGTTTTATCATCATTTATCAAGGCGACTACTGCAAAATTATTAGGCTTTTCTAATGGGCCGAATAAACTGGCATGTACATTTTTCTGTTTTCTTTCTTGCATTTCCTTTCAAATCCTCAGAAAAAAACAAAACCAAAAAGGTGTGGTAGTATTCTGTCCCTCTCATCTTTCTGACTTCAGTGACTCCATCATTTGCAATCTGCCCCAAGACGTTTGTACCTACTAAAGACTTAAATCTTTAAAAAGTTATAAATTGTTTAAAATGTAAAAAGGCTACGTAATTTCTTGAAACAGCCAGGCACTTTAGATTTGAGTGAATGTTACTCAAATGAGAAAATCATGCATTTGTCGTAGACTATTTTCAGCTGTGAATTGACACACATTTGGTGCTCTAGACAAATTGCCAGCAGGAAAGTATGTGATGAATGGACACAAAATAAATGGTGGGGACATTATAATAATCCCAACACTCATTAGCACATTTACATTCATACCGCCAGCCTTAAAATGTAGATAAGCCATTTTCAGTAGATATTAAGAAGGATAAAATCAGCATGTTTGTATTCTTTAACATCCTGTGAGTGTTTTACCTGCACATGATGTTGCGCAGTTTCTCCAGGTTGGCGGGAGTGAAGTACCAATAGTTTCGGTCACAGCGCTGGACATCCTTTTCAATCCGGTGCAGATTTAATGTATACAAGTCCAAAAGCTCTTGCTGAAACAAACAACACAATAAATAGATTAAATAAGCTCAACAACAACACATAGAAAGGTCTTTTTTTACATTTGAAAATCTGATTCATACAGTGAAGGGACTCCCAGACTCTTGGGCGGGCGCTTCATTCTTAGGGTCTCCAGGTCCAGGCGGAGAGACAAAGTTAGGGTACAGGTTCACCCCCTCTGGCTCCTCTGCAGTGAGCTTTCCCTGCTCGTCCTCCTGGCCGGGCTCCAGGTGGGGGGCTGCTTCACAACGCCCCTTCCTGCTCCAAGGCACCATGGAAACGTTGGCTTTAGGGATTTCCTCCATCTCTATGGCGGAGGGCGACTCGTCAGAATCAGTCATGACCCGAGCCTCGTCTTTCTGAGAGGAAAAGTAGGCTTCTCTGACTGTCGAGTCTGCTGGGAAAATCAGGTTCTTCTCAACCACGGGATCCACTGGATGAACAGATACATTTTCTTTCTTTTCTTCCAACAAAAACTCTTGTGGTTTACTCGTCTTTGATTTATCCATTTCCTTTGTTTTTTCCACATCTGTTTCTGCTATATTCTTAATCTCTGTCTCTCCCTCAGCATTTAATTCTGCTTCTTCAGTCAGATTTTGCTCAACAAGTTCTCCTTTAGATTTGATGGCAGCAGCTGGTGATACCATCGTATCGGGCCCTTCTTTCTCCGTTTCCCCTTCAATTCCTTTAAGTGCATCTTTATCTTCACTTTCTGGCATCTCTCTAATTTCTCCAGCCTCATCAACGGTCTCTTGGGTTTTGGCTTGCAGACTTGTCTCTTCCTTGGCATTCGACAGCTCCTCAGTCTTGATGTTTTCTTCAGTTCTGGTCACATGTCCTCTCTCCTTCTCCTCTTCCTCCTGGTTGCTCTTCACACTACCTTTCTCCTCTGTGAGACCTTCACTGTCTGCAGGTTTGACTGGGCTCTGTGGCGCCTGAGGGACAGCGGCAGGTTTTGGGGTAGTATCAGGTGCAGCGCTGTCCTCTGTGAGGGAGCCATCCGACAGGCCGGAGGTGACGGAGAAGTTGCGGGAAGAAGGATGTCCGGAGTCAGGAGAGTTCGTCCCGTTCTGCAGAGCCCCGTTGGGTATCTTTGGCACCTGTTTGGCCTCTTCGCTCTTGGGCTCCGTCTCGATCGGGTCAACCTCCTCCACGGACTCAAACACCTGAAAGAACAAGCCAAAGGGAAGCAGGCTACTCCAGGGGAAGGGGTGGGAGGATGTGAAGAACTAGCAAGGGGAAAATGCAGGGATGTTGAAAAGGGTTGAGATCACATGCATTACTTTAGGATCCGGATACAAGAAGTCTAAACACCATTTCAGTCTTTGAAAGACCCTTTTTAGAAGACCATCTACACAGGCTGCTATCTGGTGAGTGTGTCATACCTGTGTGCTGCTGCTGGAGTCACTCTGCAGGCGAGCCAGACTCTGCCTGTCTGAGCTCTGGGAGGACTGGGACTGGGTAGAAAGATACCGGCCAAGATATTATTATATAAACCCTTTTTTAACTGAAATGCATCTCTGTTATTACATTGGCTCATGTGCTGAGCTTACATTAAAAGGTCCCATATTATACTGTTTTTCATCAATATATTATAGGTCTCAGATATATACGAAACATGTCTCTGAAGTGTTTGTCTGAAATACCAAACAGATCATTGCAGCATTACCCATAATCCCCTCTGTTTCAGCCCTGTTTCCAAAGTGCTGATTCTCTGTCTGTTACTTTAGATGAAAATAAGGAGCCCCTCCCCACGCCCCTCTGAGAGACATTTGGTTAGAAAGAACACAATGGTGCTCTAGGAGGAGATTCAGGTGATAAGGGGGGGGGGGGGTTACCTTGGTTGGTGATTGGCTAATGGTTACCAAGCCAAAACATCGTTATGACATCATAAAGTGGACAAAATCTGATCAGCTCATTTTCAGACAGGTTTTTATAGAAATGGATCAGGACAAAAAGAGAGAGAATCTTTGTTCCTGAAACTTTCAGAATCTCTTTACACAGAGGGGACACATGTTGATGTAGAAGAGACATGAAGAAGTGGATTTTGCATAATAGGTGACCTTTAAAGGGATACTCACTTACAATTGTGTGACGTTGCAGGATAAAGAACATTTGAAACAGACTTTGACTTTTCAAAAATGAAGCTACAGAAGAGTTATACAACTGATTCAACAAGCTGAGAAGTACCGCCTGTAACTAGTAAACAGACTTTTACTTGTCACATTTAGTTTATAACTCTGAAAATAAGTGTGCTTCACCTCATTGCTGACGGAGGAGTTGTGGTGGCTCATCATCTTCTGACTGGGACAGTCCATGCTCACTGCGGAGGAACACTTTGCTATGGCCGCCGCATGCTGCTCCTTCTCCCGCTGCCGGACGATCTCCTCACAGCCGAGCCACTCACTCATGGTCTGCTGGTAGCACACTCGCACCTGCTCGTCCACCTGGGGGGAGGAGGAGGGTACCATCAAGGGTCAGTGGTTCAGGGGGAAAAAAGAGATATAGTTGTGGAAACTACAAACCTCCTTCCTCTCAGCTTCTGACATTCCAAACTGGTAATGACCCAGCAGGAAAGGCCACACCTCTTTACGCAGCGAGGCCTCCACCCCGCCGTAGTACACCAGGCGGAGCAGGTCCTTCTCCTCGTATGCCTGGAGACACAAGAACTTTCTTTTATCTTTTTGATTTTCCCTAAAAGACAATTTCAAATCATTGCACAGCATTAACAACACAGAGAGCTGTAGACTTAGTAGTTAATAATTAATAATAGAGTACTTTATTTCATTTCAGTATTGCCAGTTCTGCACAACCCTCTGAATATGTTGCACATTTGTAGATAAGCTACCTCTCCTAATATCTGCTCAGCTTTGCACTTTTCATAACAATACTGCACATATTTAATTGTATTGTGTATTTTATCAGAGTTAATGTTTTTTTCAAATGTTGAACTGGTTTTTCCTACAATTGATCTTCTTTCACTTTGTTTATGTATGCACTATATACACCAAGGCAAATTCCTCGTATGTGTAAACCTACTTGGCAACACAAGTATTATTCACAAAAAATAAACCGGTTTTCATTCAAATATTAGCTATATTTATGTTGAGGTCAAACTTATAATGGCTTCAGATAAACGTAGCTAATGTCTAAATTAACGATAGATGTGGACTTTAAGACTGACAGGGTCATTAGCCATGCTTCATGCACTCTGTTGTGAGACTAATGGTGTGAGCCACATGATTAACAGAGGATGAATATGGATGAGACACAAGATTGATGGAGGGAGAAAGCCTGAGAGTGGACATGCATGTGTGTGTGTGTGTGTGTGTGTGTGTGTGTGTGTGTGTGTGTGTGTGTGTGTGTGTGTGTGTGTGTGTGTGTGTGTGTGTGTGCAGCATAATGTCAGCAGCAGTGTGATGTTTGTGTTGCAGTGCTGTGACACCAGCGATGCTTACTGTGCAGTCCTGGAGGAACGTCTGCCAAACGTCTGTGGTGAGCCCTTTGTAGGCATCGCACGGCACATCGGGCGCCACGATGGTGTGATTGACGAGCGCAGAGAGGTGTGTGCGCACGGTGGACAGGTGACGGCAGTACGCCAACCCTGCAGGACAATACAGTTCATTACTTAGTGGCTGTGCAGATGTTAGTGATAATTCAAAAGGAGAATGTTACGCACTTCTTCCAACAAATGTTTCATACTGAATGTAAATACTTATGTCAAATGCTTTTCAGTGTAAACAATAAGCGATCACATACAGCCATAAAACGCCCGAGAGATGATCTGATTCTTCATGTTGTCGCACAGCATCTTCAGAGGAGCCCTGCAGGAAGACGCAGTACATTCACATGTACAGTGTTTCACCTATGTAAGGGGAAAGCATTTCTCTTCTCTCTCCTTAAACTAATTACCCAATTACAAACTGTATCTCATGTAGAGTTTATTACAGGGTTAGGTCTAACCTTTTATCATGCTAATTATTGTCGTGCTGCCATATAGAACAAAGTGGCTCTGAGGATGGCCTTTTTTTCATAAACTTTAACCGTTTAATCTGCCTCGCTCATCACCTCATTTTACAAACACGTGTCACTGAGGTAAATGTCACATAATTGTCTCCTAGGTAATTGACTTGTTGTTGTATCTTTGCTGCTTTCTCCGTTTCCTCTGTATTGTGTGTGCGCTCTAAAGGACTTATATACCCATGTGTTTGTGCACAATCATAGAAAGGGTGTGTTTTTCCTGATTTATCACTGTACGAAGTCATGGGGTGTCAGGTTACTGTGTGTCTTGAGCAGTTTCCCTGTCACAATGTACCACAACCAGGCTTCAGGGGTAACAGATTATATGTAACGAGATTAGGATTAAAAAATGAAGTGTAACTATTTGATTACAATTACATAAAAACAATTAAGTAATCAGATTACTGTTAATTTTAAATTGAGATTACTAGCAGGATTACAGTGTTAGACATACTGAATGAATATTCTTTATGATTTATATTCTGGCTACCTAAATTATCCTTTATTTTAAATAATGTATGCAGTAGTAATTTAATGCAGTAGGTGGACACCTGATATATATATAAATATATAATGTAAAAAATACAGTCTATGCTTTTGATGAAGATATTAGGTTAAACAACATTTGTAAACTATTACTACTCTTTGGTATGGAAATCTTGTTTTTCTCTTTTCTAAGGTTACATTGTTACATACACTTAAATAAAAACATATTATTGATATATATTTTCTCTTGTTTTTAATCAGTAATACATTACTTTTAGATTGTGATACTGATTTTATTTTTATTTTTTCAGGTAACTATTAATTGTAACGGATTACATTTTTAGAGTAACCCCTCCGAACCCTGAACACAACACAGTCCAGTGTAAAGCGTGCTTATTCCTCACCTCTCATGATTGCACCCCTTAGGCGTGGCTCCGTCAGAGAAGCTGCCATGAGAACAAGAGGAACACGACGACTTCCTGAGGGTGGGATGCCACATTGTAGCTCCCTGGTCCAAGTCTGGAGGAGTCACTGCAACACACACACCACACACACACACACACACACACAACACACACACACACACACACACACACACACACACACACACACACACACACACACACACACACACACACACACACACACACACACACACACACACACACACACACACACACACACACACACACACACACACACACACAACACACACACACACACACACACACACACACACACACACACACACACACACACACACACACACACACACACACACACACACCACACACACACACACACACACACACACACACACACACACACACACACACACACACACACACACACACTACACACACACACACACACACACACACACACACACACACACACACACACACACACACACACACACACACACACACACACACACACACACACACACACACACACACACACACACACACACACACACACACACACACACACACACACACACACACACACACACACACACACTCATTTAAAAAGCATTACGCTACACAGGCTTTCAACATTAATTACATTGATTCAAACACAGCTGGAAAGACTTGCAGAATTATGCTCATCGACTGTGATCCGCTAAAAGCACCTGAGAGTACAATTTTGTGTTTGATTCCTGTTACAGCAAGGTTAAAGCATATACAAAAAGAGTACATTTGCATTCTTGAACTAGTGCAGAATGTGAAAGCATGAAGCCGGCCAATTCAATTACATTATTATAAAAGGGAAATCGATCAATCAGTTATCCACACAGCGGCTGTTGAAAGGTTACTGCGCAGTAATGCAGTAAAAAGGAGTGGGAGGGGCTTTAATCGCAGGACACATTGATAAACATCGCCAGAAGCTCAGGACCGGTCAGGAGGAGATTAGATCAGGAAGTTAAAGCAAGCTGACAGACAGAGCAGAGGTGTGACTGTGTTACAGCTGCTTCCTGTGAGAGTGGGGGGGTCTTCAGGGCAGCTGCAGGACCTCTTTGGGACAACCAGGATGCCTGTTTTGAAGGGGGACGGCCCACTCAGTGGAAGCGAGAGGGAGGGAGTCAGATGGGGAGCATGGGTTACAGTCACTGTAACAAATAACGTGTGACAACAAATGAAAATGCAACAATCTGGAAAGGCCCGCGGGCGCCGCTCACATTCATCTGCCTCCAGTGGTGTAAAGTTACTAAATACATTTACTCAAGTATATATTGATGATAAACAATACGATCAACACTTAAAAAAGAACAAGATCTGAGTACTTCTTCCCCCTCTGTCTGCTTCTCAGGAGGGAATCTCACCAAACTCTGAGTGGCTGTTTGGAAAGAGGATGCGGAAGACATAGTCGGTGGCCTCGTCCTCCTCCTTATCTGAGACCGAGTCTGAGGATCCAGATCCCTGAGGAACCCTGTTCCGCAGCTTCGGAAACACCTTCCCCTGTGTCGAGAATATAAACAATATTTAACTAATGCCAACAACTAAATCATTCTAACCCATTAGAGCCCAGTTTAGTCATCCATGTGAATTAAAGAGGATGAGTGTCATGCTTAATAATAGGGCCTGAACCTGCATGGGCGGTTTTCATTATACTGTTTAGCTGCAGATAAAATGCTACTCACAGTCCATCAAAAAAATCCATTCATTAAAGAAGCCACTTTCTGTGTTGTGGTGCAGAGAGAACATTACGCCACACATTCATTACTATCACTCCGACTAATATTACAACCATGCAATGCGTTTCAAAACGTCGTTTTTATTGATTTATTGATCAGGCTGATTCTGCATTTGAGTGCCCTTTTATGTGTAATTTGTTTACTGTATGTGAGGCTAGGGACCCTAAAGAAAGACTTCCTGTGCTGACCTTTCCCCTCTGGGACCACAGCGGGGGGTCCAGCTGTCCGTGGGGAAGCAGGCCGTTCTCCAGGCAGGAGAGGAACTGGAGCAAGTGGCCTCCTCTTGGGAAGCGAAGTGGAGGTCTCTGGATCCCATCCTGACTGACCAGCACCACCGTCCCCCCACTGTCAACTGCAGGAGATATACCAGGTGGACTTTATGTTAAATTATTCATGATGCCATTTCATGCCACAGCAGTGTTTATTTAGACAATGATAACAAATAAAAAAGGCAAATTGTGCTATAAAGGTCTGCGAGCGCTTACCTTGTTGATGACAGTGCAAGTAAACTATCTCCCCGAGAGGGATGGTCATTGCATAGTCCCAGTATACACTAGAAAACATTAATAGAAAAAAGAATGAAGAAAATAACCTGGTTACTAGTTTTAGCACACCAGGTAAATCATCATTTCACAGTGAAAAGTAAATCCATAAGGGTATCCCTGCGATTCGAAATCTCAAGCGTCATTTATTTGTATGGCTAATAAAGAGAGTAGTTGCGCACAGACAAGCATGAGCTGAGTTGGCAAATGCAATAATAAAAAATGTTGGTGGGAGGAACAATGCACAGGCACAGGGACATAACACGGTTTGTCGGTTTTGAAAGATGTCTGACAGTGTCAATAAACCATCTGCTGAAAATAAGCCTCATCAGATCAGCAGCATTGACTCTCCATACTGAGCCAGTGAGCCACACACAAACACACGCTGCATTGTTCAGAAACACCTGAGTGTTACACAAACAACAGACAAAAAGAAATAAATATATATGGCAGAATCGTTTTTTTTATGTGAGATGGATTACACATATTAGCAAACACAGGCTGAGTACACAGACACAATCACTGTTATCATGATACATTTACAGCTGGATCATTTTGCACCTGCATTCGTAGTCCAGGTCTCCAACAGAGCCGTTCATCAGCTGGTTGGGGGTCCACTTCAGGGTCATGAGGTCAGCATTCTGGTGCATAGAGAGGTAACCTGGGATAGCCTCCATGTCATCCCTCTGAAACAACCATGGATGTTAGGGTTAGGGTTAGCATACATTACAGTTAAGGAAGTATACTGAATTATCCGGTTTAGAAATATTGTAAAAGACACCAGAGCCTGTTGTAGATATTGTAACTGCGCAAGGAATAAAACTTGAAGTGGTAACCTGTTACAAATACCTTGGTATCTGGCTTGATGATTGTCTCACTTTTAAACGTCATGTAAATAACCTGCTTAAAAAACGGAGGGTTAGGCTAGGTTTCTTCGACAGGAACAAGTCCTGTTTCTCGCTTGAGGCCAGGAAAAGGCTAGTCACTGTGACCTTTTTACCTGTGCTGGACTATGGTGATTTGATGTATATGAATGCACCTGCCAATTGCCTGGTCAAGTTAGATGCTGCGTATCACAGTGCACTGAGATTTGTGACAAACTGTAAAGCATTAACCCATCACTGTACCCTGTATGCAAGGGCTGGTTTGCCTTCGCTAACTGTACGGAGGCTCAGTCACTGGTACATTTTTATATACAAAGCCATGTTAGGGAAACTTCCATCCTACATCTGCTCCCTGATCTCACGGCGAATTGTAAGTGGCTACTGCCTGAGATCGAATGCTGTAGTTTTATTAAATGTGCCAACTGCTAGGACTGTCTTAGGGAAGACAGCTTTTAGATGCGCAGCTGCTCTGTCTTGGAACACTCTGCAATTGAAATGGAAACTGAGCAATCTGGTGCCACTAAATGTTTTTAAAGCTTGGTTGGATGCTACTCAATCGGAAGCTGTTGGTACCTGCTCATGTGGATAGTTATGTAAATTGTAATCCCTGTAATGATGCTGTAAGATGTCCTTTTGTTGTTCTGTTTATGTTTTATGTTTCATGTGGAACCTACTTGAGCAGGTCTCCCTTGACAAAGAGATCAATGATCTCAATGGGATACACCTGGATAAATAAAGGTTTGAAAGCATGTTATAGTGTTCTGACAATACAATTTAATTTGTAGCTTCCTTAAGCCTGTCAGTTGTCAATTGAGATATTATTTCTAGGGAGAGTCATAGTTATATATCCACTGAGTCATTTAGAGGGATCGGACAATTACCGGTTGTACGAGCACATTGTTTTTGCCAAACAGTAGGGTCACCCTGCTGTTTTGATGCAGCGACTCCACATATTCACGAGCTGATGGTGAGGGGGAAGGGCGTTCGTCCATGCTGCTGCTGGAGTGCCGCTTCTGGATCTGCACCACACAGAGACACAATCACATCAGATAACAATCATCGTAAACCAGAGGTAAAACTATGAATGTCTCTGCAGAATAAATTACAGATGGCCAGTCACAGTGCAGTCAGTTTTCATGAACAAGATCCTCTGTTTCACATGAATCAAGATGAGAGAAGGAGAAGATTGATTCATGTGCACCAATGCATCCGCCCATGTTCCTGATAACAGTCTGTTTCTGCTTGGAAAACACACACAAATACACAGCACCACGCAACTGCTTGGAGCACTGAGGTGCCGTAAAAAAGGCCAAGTTGACCTGGTTGGTGAATGAAGACTGAACAGGTGTGAAGTTCTCCGATACACTCTGTTCTTTCTCCGGGGACACGCTGTGCAGTAATCTTAGCGAGTCTGCTTTAATCAGACAGGCAGCATCACAGAAGGGATCAGACACACCTCTAGAACTCATAAATAAATAAACAAAAAAGGAGCCTGGCACTGATTATGCATGTTCATCTACTGCATTGCTAGTTTGATACTCACACACAGTGCGGGCCTCTTAGTGGGAGAATCCTGTCGGCAGTGGCCCCCGTGGATACGATGCCTTTGCACCAGCTCGTCAGCAGAGGGGTCGGTCCAGAAGTGGTCGGCTGTCTTCATCTTGCTGTACTCCAAAGCACAAGGTCCGACTGTCACAGTAAAGGTGAACAGTTAATGGTGCAGGCACTCACTTAACACATTATAAAACCAGTGAACATTGCAGGATCATCTTAAACATTATTTGGCACACTCAAAAATAGAGAAATAGAAGGATACAAATTGTAGAACTAAAAGAGTCGATTTTCAGAGATGTACCAGAACAGACTTCTTCTTTGACTACAAAAGCTACAAACCATTTCTATAACAGTTGAGAATGGTAGATCCAAATATCCTTGTATCCTCTAAAATAAGTGTTGTCTACTTTTGCTCTGTTGGTACATGCTGTATACATTCAGGTGGTTAAAATAAAAACATTTTAATATTAAAATCACTTTTTTCATGGACTGGAGGTTGCAAGAATATCCAATAATTGACAAGCCAAAGGCAAAGCTTAGAAAAAGCAAACAAAATACAACTGAATTGTGTGCGGCTGGAATATGTTTTTGATCTGCCTTTGTGTCTTCGTAATCAACTTACCTTCCCCTTTGATTTATCTTGTGTCTATCTTGTTTTGATATCTCTGCTTGAGGGTAAAAAATATACTAAGACAGTCTAAAGAAATACAAGTACTGGCACACTTATTAAATCTTCTGCTGAGAACCAAATGTAGCTCCCAGCAGCAGTGCCTTCGTCTCGGATGAAACCTCAGTGTTCACAGATGGGAAGCTGGTGAGGAATCATGTCTCGGCAGGATGAGCTCCTACTGGTTAAGCCTGTCAGGACCATTTGCTTTAGTCTAAACCTCCAGTGGTCAAGAGTAGAAATTAGCCAATCAAAGGCTGCAATGAAGGATAGGCTATTAGTATAAATAGGGAGAAAACATGGTTACCATAACGTCCTTGTGAAGCATACTGGTTCACTAACAAGCTTATACAATTCTGCTGAATTTGTTCCTAATACTCCCATGATTACACACGTCTATTTGAACATGAGCAGAAACCATAGTGTAAGACATGATACTAGATGATCACAATAAAAGACACATATAATTACCTAACAAAGAGGCAAGGATAGGTCCGTCCACATTGTCCATTAGAACAGCTTCTTTCTCATAATATTTACTGGAAGACAAATATGGAAGGGTGATTTTTAAAGGGCAGAGGGAGTTCTTGTAACACAGTAAAAAAGTGGTATTATTGACTATTCTCAATGTACCTGCTGTTCTCCACCAGGTAGAGGACAATTTTGTCCAGCACTTTCTCAAATAAAGCCGTCCGGATCCACAGGTTCTTGACTCCCTGCGGGCTGAGGCTGGGCAGTCGAGGCATCTTGCGTAAACCGTCTTGACTTTGCATGCTTTGACTTCGTCTGCAGGAGGAGAGAGTAACAAAATCAACAAGTATAACATGGTTTAAAATTGCATTCAGTGAAAACCGCATTTGCATGACTCAATGGCATCAGCAATTCATGATTCATAAAAGCTGGAAACATGAATTATTTAGAAGCTTCAATCCAAAAAAGAATACTTCAAGTGAGCAGACAGCCATTTATTTTTCAGAGCTTTCGCTTGCGCAGGGCTTTGATGTAAGCTTTCAAGTCTGCTGTGATGTGTGAGATGTTGGTCTCTCACTTTGTCTCCATGACCTGTTCCAGCTCCTGGGCCTTTCTGCACAGATCCTCCGCCGGGACGAAGTTCTTCCCCACCTTCATGAAGAGTGCCGCTATTTTGTTGCTACGCAGGAAGCCTGCTGCTCTCCGTTTCAGCCCATGGAGGACGCATGCCTCCACTGCAGCTGTGGGACACACACAGGGTTAGACAAGTGTTACTAGGGGGCACGATACTCTAAATGTATGCACATAAAACAGAAGAGTATATCATTAAAAGACACCAGACCTTAGTCCAATATTCCCTCTCCTTTTAGCTTTGTATTGGTCTCTACCAACTGCTGGGAAGATATCTGAATCCTAACACAATAAATAAAACCATAACACCAAAACAATGAGCTAAAAGATGACAAAGTATTACATAAGAAATTACAAATAGGGATTTATTTTTGACTAATTTGAACATATATAATAGAGCAATTACATTTTGTGATGTAATTTCTTGAAATTGTCACAAATGAATCGTACTGATCTATACTTATATAGGTTTTTTGTTTTTGTTTTGAGGCACAAAACCTTTTCTTTAGATGATAGCATGTCGAACCTCCACGTCATAATACACTTGATGTTGATAATGATTTCCAGATATTCATGCGCACTATAATAAATAAACAAAGCAGCAATGCATTTATGCACATGTCAGATGTCAAGTGAGTTTCATCACCCCCGCAATTCTGCACAGTGCATTTCTATTGTATGTTTTTATTGAAGTGTTGATGCATAGTAGTAATGCGTTTGACTGTGTTCATTTACACATTAAATGAACACAGTATAAAGTGGTGCCCTATTCAATTCTTAACTTAACCTTCTGACGCACTTTTTGTCTGTATGTGTTTTCTGTTAAGTTCAAGACTGCATACAAAAAACAATTTTTTTCTTTTTTAAATGAAGATTTACGTGATCATCTTTACATTCAAAAAGTTACCCATCGAGCTGTAGCGGACACACAAGTCGATGACACACAAGACAGACACCCCTCTCCTCTCTCAGGCCTACGTGGCAGCGCCTGGAGCTGTGTTGACATTTGAGTTTTCTTTCAGGACTAATCCTGTGGCTCTGTTCACATGGGGTCAGGGGGAAGGCTGGTGTCACCATGGTTACCCCTGTTGATGGAGCTCTGGGAGACGAGCAGCGGAGGGAGGGAGGGAGGGGTGGCAGCATCTCATCAGCATCACGATCCCTCCATCTCTCTCCATCACCCTCACCCCTTCAAACACAGCTTCTATCCTGCCTCCATGCTATCAGTACATCCGTCACTTTCTCTGTCGCTGCTGCTAACAGCGTTTATCTCCTACCTAGGAAATAAAAGTGTCAGCGATGACATCAGCTTGAGTTTTATTTCTAATACAACCATGTCATCTTTGCTGATCTTTTCCTCTCCATCTCTTCCTGCATTTTGCTCCCCTTCCTCCCTCAGCTGCTTACCTCCACATCATTATAAGAGCAAGAAGCCAAATGTCAGAACAAAGCGTAACATGACAAGGTCTCCTCGTATAGTTCATCCTGCTTCCTCTCATCGTTTCTGCTAACTAGTCTCAGATGGTAAAGGTGCAAAAGAAAGCAACTCCCAAACATGACACTGCTCTAGAGGGACTGTGTATTCCAAGCTAGCGAGAACATTCCCAGTGTGTCATAGTCTCCGCAGTTACAAACTCTAAAATGAACAACGGCATCAGGGGCAATGTTACAAACAATACCTTGGGAAATGTGTTCACTGTATGGCACGCATACATAAGAAAAGGTTTCAGTTTGAGACAGAAAGTAGGGAGAATGGAAGGAAAATGTAGTCTTGATCTGAACAATTAAAATCTTATTTTACCATTTTACCAGATGAATAATTAAAAACAGAAGTGACAAGAAAATGAGCATCATGTCAGTGGGATCACTTAATGGTGCAGTGTCTCCTGGTAAAAACAGCTAACACAGTAAATTGCCTCTAATCACCCTGTATCTGTGGCAACTGAGTGCATTAAGAGACTCGTGGACAGTGACCAACACTTTCCCCACTGCACACAAAGAGCCTATCGTGGACAGCGCTGAAATGATTAGACACTAAGTCATAGAGTGCATCCACAGAATATTATCTAATGATGTTTCTAATCAATGTATCATGTGTGTGTGTGTGTGTGTGTGTGTGTGTGTGTGTGTGTGTGTGTGTGTGTGTGTGTGTGTGTGTGTGTGTGTGTGTGTGTGTGTTATATATGCTATGATACGAATACACACTTACAGCCTGTTGTTCGCTTCACTTTCGTGGATTTGGCATTTAATGGACAGAATGATTAATCAGTATTGGTGATTAATCTCAACATTAATCACTAGATTCATCAGCCATAATGACCACACGTTACATAACAACCACCATTGGTCTAAATCAAGTTATGCTCTGGTTCATTTTAAGCGATTTGGCTGCTTTTGCTACCTTTGTCTAGATTTGATCTCATCTTCAGCATATTTAAATATTCACATCGTTGGGAAACATTATTTACTTTGTAAGCACAATAGTGAGTTGATTGTTCAAGCCAATTGGCTGTGACATGCAAACCATTTTGGTAGCTACGACAGAAAAAGCCATCAGTCAGAAGCAGTGTTGGGACTAACGCGTTACTTTTGGCAGTAACAAGTACTCTAGCGCATTACTTTTTAAATCCAGTAACTCAGTTACCGTTACTACACGGTGTTACTCCGTTAGTTTTTTTTATATAGTCAACAGCCAGGCGAACAGAGATGATAACTGTACTTAAGTACAGTACTTGAGTAAATATACTTAGATACTTCCTGTGTCACATGCGGAGACTCGCTGTGGGCGTGTTTGTGTTGTTTACTAACAAGACTATCATGGCGGCGGCGGCGGAGCTCAAGTCTAGTTTCTCCACCTGGAGATATTCTCACTATTTCACTTTTGTCGAGCACAAAGAAAATAACGTTTTAGTTAAATGTAAGTTGTGTCTTGGCGGGTCAAAGATCCTATCTACTGCCCAAACCAGTCATTCAAATCTCTTAAAAACATCTGCAAAAACAACATGCTGGGACGAAGCTAGTAGCTAAGACCACAGAGACTCAGCCGACGCCACTCCACCTCCACCTAAGCAACAGCGGCTGGATTTTAACCAAGGGACTGCTGGCCAGGGAAAAGTCGATAAAGCCATTGCACGGTATGTTGTAGAACACATGCAGGCTATTGCTACAGTGGAGTCACCCGCTTTCAGGGAGCTAGTTAGCATGATAGCATGTCCGGGCGGCACACGGCATATGGGACGGAAAACTTTTTCCAACTACCTGGAGAAAGAATATACAAAAATGGAAAGCCAGCTAATATCGATGCAATCCAGATTGCATATAATGCATGTCAAGTTGATCAACAGATTGTATTATTCTCCAATGCAATAACAGTACTGAAAGGAAGGCTATAAGGGCATTAACGGGAGCCATTTTTTTAAGTAAAAAAACCGTTACTTTTCACAGTAACGCATTACTTTTTGGTGTAAGTAACTAGTAAAGTAACTGAGTTACTTTTGAAATGAAGTAACTAGTAATGATAACTAGTTACTGGTTTTCAGTAACTAGCACAACACTGGTCAGAAGTGCCGGTCACATTTTGATTAAATGGTTACTGCATTTATAAAAGGTGAAACCAAATGAAGTGGCTTCAATCTCTTCACTGTTCAACAGAAATCAGCCAGGGTGCCATTAAAATAATCGTTTTGATCCATCATGACAGATGTAAGAAGCGAGGACTTCAACACAAAGCATCAAGAATGAATTAAATAAAAAGCAATGTGTAAGAAATTACAAACTGATTTGATAAAACTACAATTGATTGAACCTTTTCTGTGTATCTCTTACTACGCAATGCTTCATAACTCGAGTCAAGGACGGCTTTCTATCTCTACAGAGCGTCTATATTTCAGACTCTACCGGGGTATCTCATCAAAGTAGCCGTGAAGGTGGAGGCTAATTGCTCCCCGGTGAGCTGGCTGAGCTTCCCGCCCATCCTCCACTCGCTCTTATTATTACAGACCAGCTGAAAGAGTACTTGGAGTAATAAGAGCCACTATGAGGATCACAAGAGGAGGACGCTGGCTGACAACAACACAAAGATGAGAGGGTCATCCTGAGCTTCTACATGACCACTGAGATAACGTGATAGTAGTAGAGGAAAGATCCCCTCAGACTGACGAGCATCTATGAAAAAAAGCAGTTTGTTGATCCAATACTGTCTACAGCGAAGGCCAACAATACTGCTGAGAGGCAAAATCAAATGAAAACACAAACAATGCACAGGACACTGGTACACAAACATCACATTGAATTCAATTCTGTGGAAGGTAATACATCATTTAAAGAAAAAACAAAACATTAAAAGATATTTGGGGCAAGCTAACTGGTTGGGGGGATGTCTATTATTATTTGGTTTAATACATTTTCAAGCTCTGCAGTAAATTCCTTTCACAGCTATACAATCAGATACTCTTGGATATCATATGGTAGGGATGTTATCTCCATGGACACTCAAGCACACGTTATTGATTGTATATTTTTATAACCTGAGAGGCGTTATGTCTGGTATAGTGTAGGCACAGTAGCTTCGGTCTGACGCACATGACAGGAGATTGAATTCAGTTTTTAAAAAGTTAGTGAAACTGTCTTACAGTAAAGCAGATTTTCTCTTTTTGAAGAGTCTGTGTAAAGGGAAGGTCTCATAACTGTTCATTTGTTTATACCATAAACACATTTTCCTACATTTCAATAGCTTGCCAAGACTGTCATGTTATGAGTTAAGAGCAGTCTTTGTCTGCGAGGATTGGCTCCTGGCTAGTACGTTGTTACTGATTACGGCTCTGAACTGAGGCAGACATCTGACCGGTGTGAGCGCCTGCATGTGGGCAGTGTGTTTCTCACAGTGATCGTGCTGCGCTCTGTTGGCTATTTGGAGGCAAGAACAATAACATTTGGTGAAATATTGAACTTTAAAATGTCCGTTATTTTGCTTGTGTAGAAGTTAAGCTGATGATGGGGATCTTCACGTCACTGTACTGGCTGTCTGTTTTTAATGTGGCAACTATAATCCCGACTTCCTTTTAAAGGCTTGTATTCATTTGGCAAAAAAAACTTGTTGTTGGAGAAATATCTCTATTATAGGAATATAAAAGTAATAATAAGGAACATCAGCTATCCTCTCTGATGGACTAATAATAATAATTCCTTACATTTATTATTGCGCTTTTCCAGATGCTCAAAGTGCTTTACAAATACACATTACACACATGTAACGGTCATGTACTGTCTTGCCCAGGACACAACGGCTTTACAGACGCAGCGGGTTTCGAACTGGTGTTCCCCAACGCCCCCTTGATCAACGCACAGCCCACTGCGCCACTCCGCCCATCTTCACACCTCAAAGTCATCAAGGTGCTTTACAAGTACACATTACACACATATCATACATGTACTCTAGACAGTACCCACAGGAGCAAATTCGGGTGAAGTGTCTTGCCCAAGGGCACAACGGCCTGACGCAGTGGCAGCGGGTTTCGAACTGGAGTTTCCCAACGCCACCCTTGATCTGATGATCAACGCACAGCCCACTGCGCCACTGCTTCCCACTAAGATTAAGATTGGTGTTGCCAGAACATGTGTGTATGCATGTATTGTTGGTAGTGGTGAATAACTCTAAACATTGACCATGTTGCTTATATTCATTTGGATCTATGACACTAAGTCTTTTGCTTTCATCATGGAAACATAAAGGATCATTGCTATGTTCTTGGAGAACAGTAAAGTTAAGTTAAACCTCTTACTTTCCTTTAACATTGTATTTGAGAGTTAGTTTTCATTATCAAAATGGCTACACAGTGGAATTATCAGACAGGGAATTTTGTCGAAATGCTAGTATATATAATGCCCTCCTATGTACTTTGTTTCATCATGTTCTAAAATGTGCCCTGTGTCCAATTAAGTGTTGTGTAGAGTTGTTTTGTGATAAGTCATTGTGACCACAGCTAAAAAGATAAATGATAGAAGATAAACATGAAAAAAGATCAGTAGAATCTTTCTTGTAACGGTAAAGGAAGCAATACATACAGATAATGGAAATCCCCAGCTTAAAATTAATCCAAAAACAGTCAATGAAATTTACAAACAGTGG